GGCCCAGCTGGATTCAAACCCGCCACCTTAGGTGTATGTGGCTGGCGCCTTAGCCACTTGAGCCACAGGCACCGAGCCTATGCACTTTATTTCTAATATTACACTGTAATATATAATGAAATAATCATACAATTCACACAACTCATCATAATGCAGAAATCGGTAGGAGCCGTGAGCTTCTTTTCCTGAAATTAGGCGATCCCATCCTGTATTTACACCCAGTCCCCAGCACTAGCAGTTCCACCTCAGCTCCACGTCAGATCATCAGGTATTAGATTCTCACAAGGAACAGGAAACCTAGATTCCTCACATGCACAGTTTATGGTAGGGTTCCTGCTGCTGTGAGAATCTAAAGTGCCACTGATTGACAGGAGGCAAGACCTGGGCAGTGATGCAAGCAATGAGGAGCGGCTGTAAACACAGATGAGGCTTCACTTGCTGGTAGCGCTCTTACTTATCTCCTGCTGTGGGACTGCAGGCAGTAGGGCTCTGCCCCTGGGGCCTGGGGATTCAGCAGCCTTAGCTAGTATGTAAATAGCTGTGCTAGATTACTAGGACTATTATAAAAGAGTATTATAAACTAGGTGGCTGAAATAACAGAAACTTACTGTCTCACAGTTGTGGAGGCTAGAGGTTGGAACCTCTTCGTATGAGCAAAGCTGGTATCTGCTGAGAACTGTGAGGGATAATCTGTTCTATTTCTTCTGGTGGTTTGCAGGCAATGTCTGATAAATTCCTTGATTGTGGCCACATAACTTCAATCACAAGGAATTGTCTCTATTTTTCTGTCTCTAGATCCAGATTTCCCCTTTTTCTAAGGACACCGGTCAGATTGGATTAGAGGTCCACTCTAATGACCTGATCATCTTCAAATAAGTTCATGTTCACAAGCACTGTGAGTTAGGACTTCAGTATCTTTTAGGGAGACACAATTCAACCCACAACAGTAGTGGAACTGACATTGGAACCTATGGTGTTGGATGGAATTGGATGGAATTGATAAGGTTTAAGAGATTATAGTTGTACATAAGAGAACTTAAAAATAACATTTCCTGGGACCACCTTCAGAGATTTAGGTACAACTGCTTCGAGGATGGATATTCTCTCAAAGGGTCTCGTGCACAGCTAGGGTTGAGAGCTATTGCCCCTGTTTTACTGAAGAATTAGTTAAGACCAAGAAAGTCAAGGTGACTAGTTCAAGGTCACAAGTAATTTCACTGAGATTTAATTCAGTTTGACAAATATTTACCGGATCTCCTAATAAGGCTTTGTATGGAGTGCTGAAAACACAAAGATAAGATAGAAGGAGGCAGGAGGTGACAGATTGGGAGGGGACATAAACTAGGAATAGTGAGGGCTCTTAGGAGCAATGGTGATGTTCTATTTCTTTACTAGGTGGTAGTTACAAAGGTTACAAAGATGTAGTTATGTCATGATATCTCATTCAGCCCTTGTAATGTATGTGGTTATCTCTAGGTATGCTGTCCTTCCACTGAAAAGTATATAAGATAATAATAGCAGGGCATCATGGTGCACCTGTAGACCCAGCTACTCAGGAGGCTGAGGCAGGAGGATTGCTTGAACCTGGGAATTAGCGGCTATACTGTGCTATGATCATGCCTGTGAAATAGCTGCTGCAGTTTGGCCTGGGCAAGATAGCAAGATCCCATCTCTAAAAACAAATATAAATATCTATATATAATATAGATATATATGTAGTATTATATATTATATTACATATATGTATATATAAATATATATATATATAGAGAGAGAGTGATATTACAGTTACTGAGGGCAGCAACACTAAACTGAGTTCTCTGTACCTCACATTCTCCAGGCAAAGGTCCAGCCACATAGGAAATGACAAAACACACTGGAAGAGACTTCAGAGGAGGCCAGGAACCTTGTGTCATCTAGGAGCAGATGGAAGGAGAACATCAGCTATGATGGAAGTAACCAAAGAGAGACACAGCATTTAAAGCAAAGATCAGAACAGTAATAATGCCTCTCAATTGTTCAGCTCTTTATAGTTCCCAACCGGGTGCCCCTGGTATATCAGCGATCTGAGTCCTGCTACATAGAAGGCTCAATACATAGTAACTATTATTCTCACTCCCACTTTACAGGTGAAAAGACCAAGGCTCCAAATCATAAAGTCCAAGGTTACACAGCTAGCTATTAAGAAATACATCCAGGACTTAAGTCAGGTTTGCAACGTCTGAGTCTAGCACTCTTTCAAAACACCACAAGTTCAGTGTAGAAAGAAGAGAAGAAAAGGGTGGGCATAATGAAGGGACTTTCCACAGAGACCCCAGGGCCAGAACCCAAGATCTTCAGTCTTGAAGGCAGTATTCACTGGTGTGCTCTGACCCTTCCCACTCCCTGACACTTTCTCACTCCAGCCCACAGTGAATCTTTGGATGCCAGCCCAATCTTTGGGTGCCAGCAGATCCCAAGAGGACCAGGAAATGTCAGCCCTGAGATCCTCCTTGGCCTGAAGAAGGGTACAATATGATAATGCCAGAAAAGAGTCCTTGGAAGAAGCCATGTGGGAGAGTCTGTGGTCAAAGCCTAACCCTGGGAGGCAGTGAAGAATAATAGTTAAATACTGGGGCTGCCTAACATAGATAGACACATTGTCTAGGTTCAAATCCCAGGACCACCACTCACAAATTGTAAGACCTTGGGTAAATCAGTTCCTGTTCTATAGTTTCTCCATCCATAGTGGGGTGGGAAGCAACAATAGTGCCAACCTCATGGGCTGTCATAAAGATATTAGTCAATGTGCAGGAAACACTTAGAGCAGTGCCCAGCGATCACCACACGTATTTACCATCACTATCTTCATTAACATGTGCCAAAGGCCTCAAGTGTAGAGTTTGATGTTCACCCCAGACAAATTATACATTCAATCATACAACCAATTGACAGTCTGGGAAGAGGACCCTCACATCTATAAGATGGGTCCCACCATCAGACTGTATGTACTACCTGATAATGCATGCTATGAATTTTAATACTTGTAAATAAATCACATTACTGTGTATTATGTGTTCAAAACATTATCTTGTTAAAGGCAATCATTTAAAATCTACTGCTGGCTCAGCGCCTGTGGATCAAGTGGCTAAGGCACCAGCCACGTACACCTAAGGTGGCGGGTTCGAATCCAGCCTGGGCCCGCCAAACAA